TATCAGCGTAGAGATTAATTTAATTTCAACGTGAAATCGCTACGAAAGCGATTCTATCGCGAAAAAGAAAAATAGTTTTGATCTGATATTAAAATAGTTCAGTTGCGCAGCGCGGCGAAGGCGCGAGAAATCATTGAAAAGTTATTGTTAAGTCAGGAAAAGATTTGGTGGAAATACTTTAAAATAATTAATTAAAAAAATTTTTTTGCTAAAAATTTTATATAAAATTAAAATTAAAATAATTATTTAAAAATTGATAAATGATAACTTTATAAAAATTGACAAAAACATTTGGCACACTTTTTTCTTATTTTCTTATCAAACGTCCACCTTTAATTTATTGGAAAGCGAATTACTACATTCAAAGAAGAAGATAATTGGTGAGTTAAATTTGTTTTTGTTGTTTCTTCTTGTGTTTTTTTCTTTTTTGGGAACTGATACGGTTTTGACACATGATTTGCAATTCCAACAATATTTTTCTTTGTTAAAAAAGAAGTAGAATAAGAATAGAATAAATAGTATAAAAAGAATTTAAATTTTAATTTTGTTAATTTTTATTTTTTAATAAGTGTCTATGCTTAATTATGCTTATTAATAATTAATGATTTGGCAAAGTGTACAGTATAATATTGCATTTACATTTTCTGAAGACAATATTTATGCACATAAAATCACACCTTTTACCTAATCACCCAGTTTTTTAATGAGTTTGCATATTGTTAGTCACTTAGAACAATTTTATTCTTTTGTTATGAATATTAAGTTTAAAAAAATAACCTTATAAAATTTTCATGTGTAAGTATCCAAAGTTATATACATATAAATATGCATACAATATATACATAATCATGAACTGTTTTTACATTTTTCAAATTTTTCTCCTTTTGTTATGAATTATTTATTATTCATTCAATACTATTGATTATCATTAAATTTACCATTAAATGTAATATTTATATTGTGATAATAGTATAATAATATAATATAACTGTCTTTCATAAAAATATTACACTCTAAGTAGAAAGTCATATATAATATAATATACGTATAGTTGATGATATAAATTTAATAAAAAATATAAAGAAAATTACAATATAATTAAGCATTTGGTAATTTGTTAATGTTTTGTTTTTCATATTTTTACAAACTCTTTTTTTACAAACTCATAAAGGCGTACAAAAGTTATTTTTAAAAAAATATTTCTTTACAGAATTTTGTACTAAAAGATTTTATTAATGTTCGGTGTTCAGACGCCGTCCTTCTTTTTCTTATTTGGCACTAACAGTCCAGTATGAACCTTGGCCTCCCTCTAGGACTATTGGGCTTTTTTTAGAAAAACTAATAGATTTTAATGAATTTACAATATACAATGAAGCTTTTAACAAACTACATAATTGACAAAAAACATTTTAGTATAATCAAAAAGGATGAGGACTTTGTAAATTTTTTATTCGTTAATAAAATATAATAATATAAATAAAATTCTTATTAATAAATTTGCTTTTTAGTTGAACTTAATAGATTCAGAATAGATTCTTTAAAGAATTCATTTGAAAATTAGTCAGAATAAAAAATATTTAATATTTTTTGCATACTACTTTTATATTTAATAACTACTTTATTTTAATTTTCATAAATTTTTTCATTAAAAATTTTCAATTAACATAATATTTTTTGTAATAATATTTAATATTAGCAAAAAAAAAATATTTTAATTTTGAAAAAGTATTTCTTTATTATTATAAACTTTTTTTTCAATGGCTTCATATTATATTATATTTTATCGAATATATTTTATCATTTCAATCACAATTCAATTTTAGCTTTGAATATGTATGCTCGATATTTAACGAATTTTTTCTTATTTTTTGCCATAGATTTAGAGCAGTTAACTAGCATAGTTAAGCAACTGCATAGCAATTAAGCAACATTTTATTTTTAAATAGTGTTTAAAAAAAATTTAATGCTGTATTTATGCTGTCTGCAATATTATTAATATAAAATATAACTATTATTGCATTAATTAATTATATTATACCTTGCTTGAAAACTATTTTTACCATTTTCAAAATTGACTTGTCAGCTATTTGATGAAACCCAATCAAGTACGGCATATTTGTAATGTATCTGATACTATTTGAAAATCCTTTATTATAATATTATGTTCAGAAAATTAAAATTTGCCATATTTAATACAATTTTCAATCTTCTCATCCCTTATCCTATTGATATATATATTTATTCCTTATATTTTTAACTGTATCTAGCGCAAGATTTAATAAAATTTGATAAAAATTATATCATAGTGATTTAACATAGTCTATCAGCGAAATACTCAGACCTGGACGTTTCAGTGTAATTTTTTAAGTTCCTTTGTTTAAAATTTATTATAATACATAATATACTTCTATATTACAGTAGACTTAACTTAAACATAAATCTTATACTAAGTCTTATAATAAAATATATGACAAGTTAGAAAAGATATGTTAATTCATAAATCATTTTTGTATATTTAAGAGTTTAAGATAAAAGCTGAAGTAGGAAGTTATTATATGCAAAAAATTATTAAAATATTGAAGTACTAAATACTTAATATATTTACATAACAAGAAGTTAAAAATAATAAAAACATTTGCAAAATCAAAATTATTCTAATTACTTCAGTATTTAACTAGACCTAATTTTAAAGGTTTAATTTACTGCTTAATTATTCTTAAATATTTTTTTAAAGCTTAATAATTACTTAATAATTACACATAAAATTTTTTATGGAAAATGACATTAAACTGCTGATTTGAACAGGTTATATGTCTCACTTGACCCTCATTCTAAAATGGCAAATTATTACTAAGCCAACAAAATGTTGCAATGGTACCTGATTTATATCTCTGCATTACTTTATAATGAAATAATTTATTTTGTTACGTGAATAAACTTTTAAACAATTTCCTGATATGCATACTAAATTTCGTAGTTGGTAATTGGTATTATTATCATCATTAAACAAATAGTGATAGTCCCTTAAATAATTATTAAAGAGACTATTATAATTGAAGTTAGAATTAATTATTATTATAATATTATTTATATCACAATTTAATTTCTTAATTTAACTAAATTAACACAGTTTAGCGTAAAATAAGAAACCTTGATTGCCTAGTCCTAGGGTAAAAATATATCATTTAAGTAGAATTAACATACATTTTTTTAGATAATGCAGATATGTGGTTATATTTAAACTCATAACTATGAAACTGATTATTTCAATCTAAAGAACATGTTTAAATAGGGGTCGTTAATAATTTAATACAAGTATGTACAAATGATGCTTTCTGTAAGAAGTAGATACAAATTACTTAATATTTTTTTAATTAAAATAAAATTTAAAATATATAATATGTGTTTATACTAATTTTAACTCGTATATGCAGACATAACTCATTGAGCTTGAGTCTTTTATAATTAACCTTATTAAAATTATTAACAGAAATATCGTAAAGGGTTTAAGAATTCGACGAAATTTTATTAAAAGTTTTTATTTTATAAAAAGCCACTGACACTTATGGATTCTGCGCTCGTATCTCCAGTGGTTATAATCGAATTAGATCTGCAGTTGTTTACTAAGTGATATTGTTGTTTTTATTATTGAACAAAATGATGTTTGGTGTTTTGTACCTAATAAGTTTAATAATCTTGAATAACGCAATATTCATAGATATGACATCTAGTTGTATAGTATTTTACTATAGCGATCAATAATTTTGAGTGATTATTATTTTATTATTTATTCTTTTTTGACTGTGATCCCTGCATTGATTAAGAAAACAAAAATATTTAATATTATTTAAAATTATTCTACTGTTAAATCAGAATATTTATGAGTTCACTTATTTAACAACATAAATATTACATTTCTTTGATATTCTTAAAACTCT